AGATTTGTAAACTCTTTTGTGAATACGAGTTTCAATATTAATAAAGGAATCAATTTAAAACTTATATCTTTCTGCCTTTTCGTGTTTTCATATAGTCTGATGTGATCCTACACATTATTTGTAATTGAGTTCATCATTTGAATTCTTTAATTAAAATTGTTCATAATCCCGTCTTTCAAGTCTTCATATTTGATAAATTCATTTAAGTTCAACGCGTAAACTTGGTAAAGTTAAGAGTTAGGCAGATCCTAACGTCTTAACCGCAGTAAGCTGTAGTTAAGAAATTTCAAGTAGAGACTTGATAACGTGACCACCTTGAGTTGAAGAATTCCACAGTGACAACATGTATTACCTCTTATTCTTACAAGTCAGTATTGATGAACATATTCTGTCTTTATTAGAACGTTTACATCATTTTGAAGAATAGCAAACTGAAGTTAAAGATCTGGAAAATAATACCCTATGTGATAATAATGATGAAAGTGAACCTATAGAATATATAGCATTATAAATTTTAATAGCAATAGATTGTTTAAAAGGACAATTTTATTTAAAGAAATATTTTAATTACAATAAAAATAACAAATTTTTACATTTTTTTTTTTTTTTTTTTTTTATAAAAATTAAGACTATTATATAAATCAATAAATTAAACTAATTTTTGTAACAAAGATCTTATTCTTAATACTTTAATTTATTATACATGTAAATGATAAATAGTTTAAATGCAATAGTTAAATTATATAATTGTATAATATATCACGTAACATGTATAAATATTTATAATATCAACTACAAAATTTATGTAACATAATTGGCCAATCATATGAAAGTCCTTCTATGAATTTAGTACTATAATATTTAGCAATAATTAATTAAATTATATTAATAGAATGTATTATATTAATAAATAACTTATATAATAAATATATTTAAACAAAAATATTGAATAAAGAATTAATTATATATAAATCTATTTATCATGTGATATTAAGAGTAATAATAAAATGCTATGATGATAAATTATAAAATTCTTTTTAATATTTATTTTATTAGTAAATTATAATATAAATTAATTTTATTAAATTTAAATAAGTTTTAATAATTTATTTTAAATTATAATTTTTAAAATTAAATAATAATAAAAGAGTAATTTTAAAATTTAAACATATTAATTTAAAAATAGAATATTAATATATAAGAAATGGTTAATAAAATAAAATATCAAAATTTTTGTTAATTTTAATTATATAGTTATTTAAACTAATTTTATTTAGATTAGTTAAATAGTTTAATAAAATAAATTTTAATTAATTTAAATAATTAATTTTTTTACTGATTACTTTTTATAAAAAATTATATAATTAAAGTATAAAAAAGTTAAATATTTAAAAATTTAAGGATTTTCAATAATAATTTGAATATTTAATATATATATTTTTTTATATTTGAGATTATCTTATCATCTTTTATTATTTTAAGATAAAAGGATATAAATAAAAATAATTTATTCATGGCATATGCGCCTCTCTTTTGTCACAGTGTCACACACCCCTTCTTCATTTTTCATATACCTGATACTGTATATTCAGAAATTTTTAGTTAAAAAATTTATTCTTCACGTCCTGCGTTAAATATCACATGTTTTAATTTTGGCCGGCATTATATAATTTTGCCTAAGGCGATGCGATGAATAAATTTACTCTTTAATATATAAGTAGGCAATTCTTTTAATATTTTAATGTATTATATTTTTTTTTAAATATAGGAGAATAAAACGAATTAAATATACTGTATAATCGCAAAAAGGAATTTTTGGTTAATCATCACGTGAGCGAACAACGCACACGTGACCGAAATTTCCCATATATATGCTAGCCCTACTTATGTTGTATGCCAAGTTTCGTAAGCATTAGGCTGGTACTTACCGAGTTATTCAAATTTAAACATTGCCAATTTACTTTAAATTATAATCCAACCATATTTAGGCTTCGCCTAATTTTTAGTTTGACTTAAATTATGATTATCCTGTGAATTTTCTCAAGAAATAAAAAGTTCGAGATTAATTAAAAAATCTCTTTTACAAAAAAAATTGGTGAATAATGTGACATCATTTACAATATAATTATATAATTTAATTTTTTTTTTTTTTTATAATAAAATACGTAATTTGTTGAAAATGTTGATAATTAATTGGATTATAAAAATTAAAAAAATGGATCCCAACATTATGAGCGTTTGTTCAGTATGACAACAAACATATTGTGTGAATGATAATTTTTATATATAACCTATGAAAAAGTAATCGTCACTTTTGCGTTTTTGTTATAAAGTCTACTCGGGGAATAAAATAATTACCTTATGTAACGAGATTTTTTTTGACCCTAAAAATATCTACTATATGTCATGACAGACTTCGGTATCAAAGCTTATCGCGATTAGCCATAATGCTGGCGTAAAGACATGTTGAATTTTTTATCTCATTGAAGTATGATATAAAGATGATAATTTTATGATGTAAAAATGATAAAGACGACGAAATTTTTTAGCACGGATTTCTTTTATAAGTGCCTATCCAAGAATGAAAAAAAGGATAAAATGCGATCTTTTTTCTCGATTGTCAAATCACGTTCAAAGTATCCCACTTGCTTTATTAACAAAAGATTTTACACAGACAGAACCGTTCCTATTGCCGCTGCTGCTTTCTCTCATATTATTAATCCACCAACCATGGCAAGTTTTCAACTTAAAATTGATGCATATCTATGGCATTATAAAAAATATTCATTTTTTTTTTTTTTTTTTTAAGACAAAAAATATAATTGAAATAGCAATTGAAGATCATAGCATTATCAAGACTTTGTGGAAACGTTTTAATGATGAAAAAGATGACAATGAACGTCAAAAAATCGCAAACACTTTAATTCGCGAGAGTAAGTCAAAAAACAATAAAATAAAATAAAATTTCGTTTATTATTCATCTGAATGAATCCTTATTATTCATGGAAATAGTCTCTCTTCATTCTGCAACGGAAGAGATTGTTTTATACCCGCTCGTTGAGAAGCACATGGATGATGGAAAAAAGTTCGCGGACCATAATCGTGAAGAACATCTTCAGATTAAAAAGGACGCTTACAAGTTAGACACGATGAAACTTCATGATGAAGGATACACAGATCTCATGTCTAAAATTATGAAGGTAATCATCCTTTTTGACTTGAAGGGGTGAAGGGCCGAGCATTGAAAAAAAATTTTTTCCCCTAATAAATAGGAATTTGATGAGCATTCCACCGATGAGGAACAGAATCAATTCCCTTTACTCACACAAAAGATCGGAAGTGAAGAGTTGCAGAATCTTGCCGCGGAATTCGAAAAAACCCGTAAGATGGTTCCAACTCGACCTCACCCATTTGCTCCCGACCAGGTTCGTATACATTTATTTAGTTATTTTTTAATAGTTAATGTAATAAATTTTTTTGTTCGTTTCTTTAAATTATTAATAGCCTCCGAAGGAAACTATAGGTCAGTATAGTATATAGTATATACAGTATATAAAATTTATTTGTTCATAAGGCGTTGTATTTAATAATTGTTTACCATCCATCCTCTTAGTTGGCACGGCAACTGCGCCTATTGATAAGGCTCGCGATGAAACACGTGAATTTGTCGATGTCAACCGCTGTGTGTAAATCAAAAAGAAATTATATGTAGTTGGAAAAAATTGGAAAAACACATTTCTAAATCTATCAATTTAAATAAAATTACTTTTTTATTTCTATATAAATATATATATATATTTCTGATTTTCTCGCGTGTTCTTTATCAATCGTCAATTTTCATCAAACAAAGTTGGTTTACGACTTTCAACTACTTCATAACCAACTTTCTTCTGGTGAAGATGACCAAGAAACGAGTTAAATTTCAAAAAGAGATTCCTGTCCAATTTCAATAATCTCAACTGATCATTCCTGTCATAATAATCACTTATATAAGCAGCGAATTTATAAGTGGCGTCTGCAACACCATATAATTCCAAAGTACTTAATTTAGTATTACAACAAATCAAAAAATCTCTTAAAAATCTCAAAGAAATAAATAAATTTAAACATAAATGATTTAAAGTTTCGGGTATGGAAGAACCCAATAATTGTAACATGTTGGATCTAAATAAGATAATATCAACTTTGGGGGATTCTAAATATAAATAAGATAAAGTATTCATAAAGGGTAATACACTGGCGGTCCTTTCAAGTGAATCCGATGTAATGAATAAACATAAATGAGTTATATTGACACAATATTTATTTATCGCGCTAAAAATATCTCGGTTGAAGAAACTGCAAGCGAATTTCTTTAAACTCATTGAAGCCATCTTAAAGATCAAAATAATCTCTTCATCAGCATTATTCGTCTGATATTGAAATTGTAAAAGGGGATTCCAATGATAAAACTTTTCAAGTGATGGTATCGATAAATTAACCAATTTCTCGTCATTTCTTGATTTATCTTCACATCTGCTCAATTTATGCATGCTAATCGATTTCAAATTTTTACAATTTTCTAATAATTGGATTAAGGAAGTAAATTTGATCTCTCCGTTAATTTTAAAATTTCTCAGGGAATTCGCTTGAGTCGTCGTAAGTGCGTCAATAATTTCTTGATCTATCGTTGAACAGTCAATTCGATTCATTTCCAAGCTTTTTAAACTGATTTGCGATTTGATTAGGTTTGATATTGCGGGGAAAACTTCTTTAAAAGAATCATTTTCATCATGTGTAGGGAAATTAATGATTATCTCTTGAATGTTAATCGCTAGTTTCGCAAGCGTATTGAAAAAATTTGACCATATTTTAGCATAGTTTTCTTCATTAACAATATATGCTAAGAATGTTAAACTTGTAAGTTTACTTAGGGGGATATAAGGGGCAATACTTCTGTTCCCTCCCGCGCTATTTAAAGTATTGTTAAAAGAGAATAATAAATGATCCAAGGTATAAATGATCTTTTGACTTGGGGCATGATTATGTTCGTATTTAAATATTCTTAATCCTTTCGACCTTTTGAATATCATATCCATTATAATGCTCGCTATAATCATATAAACCTTTCCTAAATCCAATTGGGTTTCAATTGTGTTGACATAATTTTCAAGTATTTGAGAAAAATGATTACATTTAAAGATTTGCAAGTATTTCGGATAATCAAATAATGCTTTGGAGTTACAATCCGGAATTTGAATGGATTCTTTAATTAATAATGATTTCTCCGAATTTTCCAAGCATGAGATGTAAGTTCGAATTGAATCTTTCCTCCTCATATTTTTAAATGGATCACTCCATAAGATTGGAATCGCAAGTCGACACCAAGTACGATTTACTAAAATGCATGAATGGAGTGTTCCTTGATCTTCTACCAAGTATTGAAATACTACTTCTAAACAATCTGTCATGCAAATCAAACTATACTTTGATTTTGTTGAACTTTTCCTTTTATTCGACAATTTTGTTATTAGTTGTACTATAATCATCAAAGAAGGATAGGACAAGAGAAAAAAATGAAATTAATATAATTACTGCGTGCTTATGCATTTGAAAAGAAACTTTAATCAAGTACTTACCAAATGGCATTTTTTTTTTTTTTTTTTTTCTGAAATCTTTTTCTTCTAGTTTACAAACAAGAGAATCTTGTTTAGTTATATATTATTAAGATCTACAAAAATAAATCATCCTTGAACCAATCGGAAATTCCTAAAATGATCTACATTAAAGCTAAATGAAAAAACCCTTTTCAAAGGTAACACAAGGTAATATGCCTTTATCTAGATAATGTCGGAAGCACTTTTGGCCGAAACTAATACTAATTGAAACTAATCAATTAAAAAAATTATTCACAGGGATAAACAATTATTTCGTTTTCATTTATTTCACTATAGAGATACTGTTTGAAATGTAAGCAAATGCAACAAATTAGGATAGACTATGCATCTGAAAGAACAACCATCAATAACTTTTGAAATATCTTCCTTTTTTAGGTTATGCTCGGAAAATGATATAGAAAGAAATCATTACTAAAATAAAAAGGGGGGAACACGAGAAATAATGTATGATTTAAAGGGATATAGTGACCTTTCAAATTTGACATAATTTTTTTTGTCTATAGGTGTAAAATATGTGTGAGGAATTTTAAATAAAAGTAATTTAATAAGAATATATATGCAATTTCCTTACTTTAGTTCACCTTCTAGCATGGTAGCTGTCAATAATTTTACGAAATGTTTTCAATGGTAAATTTCTTTCGTATTTTGGTACAATCGTTTCATAATCTTCCAAACCGGACACTATACGACCAAAAGTCTATTAATTAAAATTAAATAAATAAATAAATAAATATAATTTCAAAAAAATATATATATATATATTCAAGCTTCGCTCTCTTAAAATTAATACTCGCTTTAAAATTTTCAATTGAATCCGAAAATCTTAAATCGAAGGCTTCATCTAGAATATCATGTGCAAAATCACGAATTGTTTTATCATCAGAATGCATTTGTACGGCCCACGTAGCAAGATCAATATAAGGTATTTCATTATTTGCGAACTCTAATGTAAAAATCAAATTTTGTACTTTTTTTGGTTTCGTCTAATAATAATAATAATAATCAGAAAGCATCATTATTACCAATATTAAATAAGTGTATTGTTCTTTTAACAACATTACCTACAATAATCTCTTCTATAATTATTTTTTTAATTATTTTGTCTCGTTTGCAATTTTCATCCAACACTAGTCTCCCTTTATTGATTACTTCTAGTAATTCTTGTCCTTTTCTTATTATTATGCTATCTTGTTCATCCTTGTAATTTGGATGAGAAATGTGTAATATAGGGAAAAACTTTATTAAAAAAAAAAGAAAGATATAATAAGATATAATTAAAAAAAGGGGGGATAAATATCTAACCATAATTTCCTTATGCCTACGTTTTAATACCTTTCGTGATACATTTTCATATTCAATGATCTGATTATGAAAAGCAAGAAATATTCTCATATACATTGGCTCATCATCTAAATCAACGCATTCCTTATAATCATCCATTGCCACAAAAACTTGACTTCGGGCAAACTCTGGAAACTGAATTTTTTCATCATTAATACACGTTAATAATAATAATAATAATAATAATAACTTACAAAGTTAAGCGCGGTTAAACTTACATAAACCACATTATCATTAGGAAACATGAATTTCCAAGCCATGTTCAATTCTTCTAAAGCATTTGCCCTATTTTGTTCATGGGATAACATTTTCGATATCCACGATTTGAGATCAAAATTAGGAAATGCATCCCTGGCAACAGCTTCAGTAAATATAAAGTCTTTTCGTCGCTTTAAATTTTTATTTTTTTAACGAGTTAATTTTTTTTATAGAGAGATATATATGATCGATTAAACATGTAAAATTACATACCATAAGCATTGCTCTATTCATTTTTGTATTTTATAAACGAACCACTGGTGTTTTTCTGCAAAAAAAAAAAAAAAAAAAAATCTGAAATTCGTTCTAAACCACTATAACGAATATTGATTTCTCCTGTTCCTAAAAAGGAAAATTAAATTTTACCTTCGAAACTTTTTTGGGGATCTACATGATTTTGTAAGCGATTTTATTTATACCAATAACAGGTTTTATAAATTGGAACGTGGTATTTAAAAAAATTTCGCTTTTTTGGACCGCCCAATTTTGGGTAGAATTCAATATTCATTTAGGAAATTGAATCGCGAAACGTTCATATTAATCAATTTCGAGTGATCGACCATTTCAATTGGAAATTTATTAATTAGTCGATTGGAGGGTCAAAGTTATGAATAATCTTCTCTAGCAACAAGTTACTTGATTTATTGGTAATTTTTGTTCCTTTCAATAGGAAATAAAAATAAAAAAATTTCTATTTTAAAATGTCTCGCGATTAAAATTTATTTTGTTTTCCAACCCAATTTTTTTTTTTTTTGTTTTTAAATTAATTGAATTGAATTGATTATGCTAAGTTATAACCATGTTTTCTTAAAAATTCATCGCCATCCATGCATTGAATTTTTTAAATATATAATCATAAGTTTCTTATACATAAACTTATTTGATATCTTAACATGTATTTACAAAAGAATGCTTATTAAATCATAAAACTAATTTTTCAAAGAATTAATAATATAACAGGAAAGAAAAAAAATTCTTTAAAAGTGATAATCTATATAAACTATAAACAGTGAAAAATTTACAAATTTAAAAAGATGAAAAAGTGGATTAAAAAAAAAATTATAAACATAAAAAAGTATTAACATATGGTAATAAAAATCTATTAATCTAAAGGGAAAAATTATGTAAAATTATATACTAATGTCATATCACATATTCTTAAAAGGAAAAAAAAAAAAAAAATCCCTTAACCGTATACATTAAAATTATTAATATTTAACGACTTGAAACACTTCATAATCATCCATGATAAATTCAACTCCATTATAAATTTTTTGTTGATAATCATTTTGTTCACAAATTCCAGCAAACCATTCTAAATCACTTCCAAAACCCAAATATTCATCTTCTATATTAAAGATAGCTCGATCAGGAATTTTGACACGAGAAAGAATAGGTTTCGTCATATGTTCATTATCATCAAAAGAGAATATAAAACTATCATTAGACGATAAATAGCCATCACTTGCACACCATCTAACAGGATTATATCCACCTAACAAACGTTTAGATCCTTTGACTTTAATTATCACTAAAGTTGGACCTTTATTACTACAACGCTTTAGAAATTCACGATAATCATTTAACCCATCACGACTTCCACGAATAAGTAAATTAAATTTATAGGGAATATCATGAAATTGATATGATTCATTTTTCTTATCAATCCAAGACGCAAGAACTGCTGCGTAAGTTGGAGTGATTATCGTTGTATCGATTCCCCCTTTTCCACGTGGTGGTAAAACGATTGATCTTGAAGAAATTTGATGAGCAATATAAAATTGTTCTAAATCCTCCCTTAATTCCTTTGGTAGGATTTTTTTAAAAGGTCGAACTTTATTATAATAATCCGGTCCTGAAATATTAAAAAATCTGATATGTGGAATACAATCTTGTAATGTGTCTCTTAACATTATAAAATCTAAAGGTTGCCATTTTGAGATATTTGATGGAAATTTCTGATGTTGAGCCATTCCCCATTTAACTACATTATTCCAAATTTCAATTTCTTTGATATTGAATAATTCTTTTTTTAATATATCGATTAAATTAGATTTATCCAAAAAACCAAATTCTTCCAAAGAGAAGAATCTGACAGGATCATCACAAATGATTCCTTCACAATATTTATGAAGTTTATTACATGCTTCATGTTTTGCCGTCATTGTAAGAAATTCAACAAGCTTCCTTCTTAATAATGCAGCATCATTCTTAATTATATGATCTTGAATATGATCAATTAATTCTATGATGGCCAATTCATCAGCGGCCGCTAGAAGACATGTATAATTCACTCTAATATTCATATCATCCATAACAATCGTACCAGTATAAATATATCTAAAATTAAAAACGAAAGGGTAAATTTAAAGCTTAAAAAATCTCATCCTATCTTTAACGTGTGAATGGTTTAAACTTACTTGAGAATAATTTCGAAAACGACTGGAGATATATTTGGTTGATGAAGAATCATATAATCCCCATCTTTTCTAGCCCAATTAGATGACAGAGCAGCACGAAAATATGAGGACCTTGCTCTCAGGATAACAGAGTGAGCCTTAAAAGTACGAACATTTGACCCATGTCCAACTTGAATTTGAACATTGCAATCGTCTGAATCTTCATATAGTCTACCAATATCTCTAACCAATATTTTGTCTAATTCCATTGGCTTTATTTAATAAACTAAAAATTCAGAGAAAAGAGAGAAAAAAATATTTGAATTTATAGAAATAGACGGAAAAAAAAATGGGGAAACAAATTGTGGAGTTTTAATTGTTTGTTTGGTAATTAAATTTGGTTACAAAGTAAAAAGGACTGTATTGTTTTACAGCTATTTTTATAATTTCATTCATGAACAATTTTGGAAATTTCCTTGTAGATCGAATACTTACCAGTCGATAATGAAAAGATACAAATAGAGCAAAAAATTATAACAGCGTTCAATGTTTCTTTGTCCCCAGCGGCCCGAGTCAAGAATCGTCCAATCATAATATTCTTTGTTGCTCAATGATATAATGATACATAAGAAGAATAATGGGAATTTTTTAAAATGTGGCGCAATTATATCGCCCATAACGTTCATTTATTATGTTTGCCTTGTTGTATATAAATTTCGGCAAATTTTCTATCCCAAAAATTTGAGTTACATTATATATATTATTATCATATGAATAAAAGTAGTTGTGACAATAATTTTCCTAATTGTACGTGAAATTAAGGTTATGAATAATGATGTCTAATGATAAACAAAACCGAAGCGAATTATTAAAAAAAAAAAATGGAAAAGGTAATTACAAGTGCCTACTTGCGATTTGCTCGTGTTTTCTTTCCATAATCGTTACAGCAAATTAAAATTCGATCCAATTATTCGTATACGAATAAGCATATGTTGAGACATTGTTGATCTAATCCTAATTGAACGACACTTACACACCTTTCTCACATTCGTTTTTTTCGAATTTAAACCATAAATTAACTTGATATGACAAATGATCGATAATTAATGTTCCATTTCTTTACTACACAAACGTAAAATTTAGAGTTTTAATATGGCAACTTGATAAATTAAGGAATGCATAAATTCGTTACAGACACAAATAACATGCTTAATGAATGGCTTGTCACGTGACAAATGGCACATCGTCATGTGAAATTGCCAAATTTTACAAAATGGTCCACCGAATTTATATAAGAAACTTTTGTTAAAGGGGAGCTAACGGTGAAGTGTGAGATGAAGTGGTAAATGGGTGAGGTTGAACTTAACGAAAAATTTTCACCTGTTCATATATTAAATTTTTATACTTTTTACAATTTAACTAGTGCGTTTCATTATCAATAATCTCTTGTTATGTACTATCAAATTTGTAAGGAAAGCAAGGAAATGGAAGCCGAAATGGAAGTCGAATTTGATTCTAACTTTTATTTTGGAGTTCTTTGTTCTCACATTTCTCAGGTTTCAAAAGATGGTGCGATTCCTGCTGAATGGAACCAAACACTGGTTCTTTTGTAATGCTACACGGTGCACGAGCTTCAGGAAAATCTTTCGAATTTTAAAGTTGAAAATTTTATTAACCAGTTGCTGAAGAAATACTGGATTGTACAATTCTTTACAAACTTGGAGTCTTTTGAAAGCCTATATTTTGTTAATTGATGAATTTGATACAATGTATTGTACCTTTAGATCATTGTGCTCTCTTCTGTCATTATACTTCATTTGGACAACTAATTCCTGAATACATTACAGAGCATATTAAAATTTTGATTTGCTATTGAAATAAGTCAATCGTTATTTGAAGAGGTATTGAAATTGTTCCTTAGGTAATTACAGATGTAAACTAGTGCATCAGGTATTGTAATCAATGGTAATGAAAAATTATTGTATTGTTTTAACCGTTTATCCTATGATGATAATCTTAATAATAAAAATATTGAGAGATGGATTATTATAAATGTCCATTATAGGATTGGCAAAATGAAAATTTTGATAATATGTGCATGCATACACGTTTAAATAAAACTATAATTTCCAATATGGCTGGTGGGCACTTCAGAGACTCAAGAAGTCGTTCAGAACCTTCCCAACTCGAAGCGCTTTTACGTTACAACCCTAATCATAAAGTTTCGCACATTGGAGTGTGGCATGTGGAAAATAAAATTTCACTTTGAATACTTTAACAAATGTCGTTTATAATATGTAATTTGAATTTAGCAATTTTATTTTGTTACATAGTTTGTGTTCCCTTTAAATTATCTAATATATCAAGCTATTGTATCAAATAACATCTGAATAAGGGTATTTGACCTAGCGCCTTATTCCCCTGCCCTAAAGAAATGAATTTTAATCCCAGATATTGAGTATCAGGTCATTTAGATGGACTTGGCTTTGCTTAAATTTCGTTTGTTTAATAAGGTCTGCGGAGGTATCTTCCTTATGTTAAAGACCTTTACCATCTCCGAAAAAGAGAAAAGGAAAACTTACCCATTT